AGACAGACAGGAAGACAGAGAGACAGACAGGAAGACAGAGAGACAGACAGGAAGACAGAGAGACAGGAAGACAGAGATACAGGAAGACAGAGAGACAGGAAGACAGAGAGAGACACAGAGACAAAGGACAGAGGAAGACAGAGAGAGATGGAGGGAGAAAAGGAGAGGGAAGGAGAATGCGGGTGATGAAGGGCAGAACTACGTGAATTTTTAAAGTATAAAAGATTACGCGAATGTGAATTGAATGTTCCACAAGGCATACTTCTCTCAAATAAAATCTCAACTAACATCTTGCTGTTCGCAGATGATCAGGTAATTGTACAAGAGGCAGAAGATATTTTACAGAAATCGGTAGTATTTTTAAAAGATTGGATATAAATATGACCAGAAAATATGCGTTCCAAAAACCAAAAGTATGGCTTTCCATTTGGAATATCCTGTCATCGTCGTGGATCTACCATCGTCGTGGATGGACACATTCTGTAACAAGTTTAATTACTTAGGTTGTAATATTTTTTGTGAGCGGGGGATAAAGATATAAAAAAATAAATTGCATAAATTTCCAAGAATTTGTTAATATATAAAAAATGTCTCAAAAATAAAACAAGAAAAGAAACTCAAATAAAACTCTACAAAGTAATGGCAGTACCTGCACTTCTCTATGCCTCAGAATCATGGGTTACTCGTAAGAAATATGTGTCAAGAGTACAGGCAGCTAAGATGAGTTTCCTGAGGTCTGTTAAAGGCTTCACTAAACTCCATAGAATAAGAAATACTGACAAACGAAGTGAACTCAATATTTTCTCACTCAGCACTCGTATAGAAGAAAATAAAACGAAATGGAAAGAACGCCTAGAAGGAATGACCGATGAAAGATTTCAAAGAGAAGTAATGAAATATAGGATGGATTTCTAAGATGAGGTCTGAGCCACGGTTTCTTTGAGTCACGACTCGAAATCAGTTTCGCTTGAGAAGACGCGGAATGTCGAATTATTGAGGCCGCGGCTTCAAAATTCCAGACCTCAGCGAAGAGTAGTTTAAAGTCATGGCTAATTCATTTAAAAAGTAGAAAATGGAGTTCTTTAGACGTATGGAAGAATCTCGTGCCAATCTTAATCGGCTCAGGACACAATCCGGTAACACGAGCGTTGCGGGATTGCTTTTCGTAAGAAACTATATTTGGTTGAAATTTTGCGACCCACCTGAATCCCGAAAGGGAAGAGATTTATACGTGACTCAAAGCTCACTTCAATAAAACCCATTTTACATAATTATTTATTAAGGAAAACAAAAGATACAAATTATTTTTTTATAACTGGCTATGTTATAATGTTTTCGGAGAGTATGTTCGAGCAGAGATGCACATAGGCCCCGAGGAAGAAGTGATCCATATCTCAAATATCCAACTCCTAGAAAAGACGGCATTGAATGGTAAGTCCATATGGAATGCACTGAAGTACTAGGGCATTCAGCAGTCCTTAAATATCTGCCATCAACAATTAATGACAGGTTCGAAAGCTGCTCATAACCATTTCAGTGATAAAAATGACATTCAGACGACGAACCCCTGGGCTACAACGGTGATCAGGCATCCTGGTGGAGTAATAAATAGACCATGCAAGTAGACGGGATTATCTAGATTGCCAAACAAGAAATATAATGACAGTTCATCACGATCTTCTTTCGTGCATACGACAGACTTTCTCTTGCAGATCAGAAGGTGGTGGGCTTCAGATATACCAAATGTTTCAGACAGAGAATCAACGCAAGAGTACTTCAAAAGAGATTACACTTAGGCTGAGAAGGTTTAGTTGATCGATGGGAGAGGAAAAACAACGCACGTGAAAATGATGGCTTGGCAGGCGCATTCACAGACAGTGTATACGCGAAAAGGGAGGAACTCTCGCCTGGAGCTGCCTACTGGCTATCTCCCTTACGAAAAATATCAAAGGCCTTTCATGCGAAATTGTGCAGTCATAGAATACAATTTTCATACTCTAGGGCATGATGATAACAAATAACCATGTTTGACAGATTACGTAATTAAGCAGATTCTTGCTGAATACCTGTGAATGTCAATTGCTTAACACAATCGGGAAAATTTCACATGTGTAATCATTATATGAAATTTCTCACCACTCGGGAAGTGGAAAATGTGAAAATCTTCGACACCTCTATTTACCTGAGAGGTTTGTAACATTTATTCTGAGACATTCCGTACGAGACTACAGATGACGGAAAGTGTGCAAGCAACTGTCAGCCTTAATAGACTTAGCAGGGAAAAGCTATAATTCCTATCTGCGCAAAGATAACGCAGAGAATACAAATATCGCCATGGCGAAGTGACTAAGTTAAAAAACACTCTGGTAACGGAGAGTCTCGATTATTACATCAATAATTGGGGTTCTATGGACCATACCTTAGCACTCGGCGCTCTTAATGAGATTCTAGCACATCAGCTGTAAATGGCAGCATTACTTGACGTGTAATAATTACTATCAATATTAAAAGTGTTTTGACTGTACACAGCCAGCCATGGCTGCCCCAGCCATAATCGAACATGGATCTTCTGGTATGTACCTAGTTGCTCTAACCTCTGGTGAACCTCTAACCTCTACCAAGTGAAGACAACTGTAACTACGTGGCGAAATCTATATCAAAGCTAATATTATTCATTATTATTTTTTCACACTCACGTATTGTTTCATTCACCTCCGTGAAACACTGCAGCGCATATTCCCTTTCCTTCGTGACCTGAAAAGAGAAGTGCATTAGTTGAAAAATTCAAAAGCTGAATGGGTAAGAGAAAAATGCCCAGTGTCTCCCTTAGATATCTGACTTCGCGCTGCCCTATTGGGTGGAAGTGAGGCCGAATAGGGAGCCATGTTGTGCGGCAAAAGCTTTGGCTGTCTATTGAAGTTCAATGACATTTCGGTAACTTTTTACAACTTTAATACCAATACATTATATTTATAAATATGGTACTGTTCCATCGTAATAAAATGAAGAAGCAGTTGTGAATGAACATGTAAAATAGAAATATATGGTAATTTATTTAATGTGCCCTTCTCGGCCCTCTTTCCATACATCTGCCTGCTAGCTCAGATGACAGTAGGTCACCCGCAAATGCGCTGGATGGACATCGTTGTTTATGAATGAAAGAAGTTATTGAATGCGGTAAAATTTGAAGTTTAATGACTCAAAATAAAAGGAGCATGGCGAGAAACGTGTTTGTACCCGAAGCCCGTTTCTCTCAACAAAACCTATCCTAATTAAAATCTAACACACAGAAAAATATTAAGGCTACGCTTACAGGAAATTGGTTGGATATTAGAATTTTATTCCGACTAATGCGCGGCTAAGAATCGTTGCCTGAATTACACAAAAAACGATTGAGCATTTTTGATTATTATCGCCGGAACCGTTGCCCGAGTTTGTTGTCGCGGAGGTCAGTCTTCCCCATCCAGCTGTTGCGCCCTTTCGCTGTGCGCCCGATCGCCGAAAGACGGGCTGCGGCGGCCTAACTTCGAATGCACAGTGAATTGAATTGAATTGAATTTGCCTTATTTTACGTGGCGAGACTCGGGCCATCAGGCCCGCTCTTCCGTCTGACCACTCATTTCGCTACGCTCCTTTCACCAACTAGGAGAGAAAGGAGGTATTTCTTGGGCGAGAAACAGGCGATTTGAATTTAGCTCAGAGGCGTCATTTTGGCTTGAGGATCTTTTACATGCAAGTAAATCTACGAACATGGGACAGCCGGCTTTACTTCCCCTCCGAAGGAAGGCGTACGAAGGCCCTTAAAAATCCACGATCGCTTCGATCGGGTTTGAACCCGCCAACTTGGGTACAACAGTCCAGTACGCTAACCGTTACGCCATCGCCGCCGGATTAAGTGGCCTTCAAATTTTCAAATTATGCAAGGAAATGTGGGTGAAACTTTACCACACATCGCTTCTGAATTCAGTTTGACAAACTGTAAAGTTCAAAACGCGTATTACAGTCTAAAAAATTCAAGTGCCCGGCGGCTTAACAAGAAATCAGGTACTGGAGCGGGCGGTGGTCTGACAAGAAGTCTCCGACGTTCGGTTGTTCCCCTTTTCAGACCCAAAAGTTCTAGAAGATTCCAAGATACAACGGTTGCCCAATAACGTTAAGGTTAGTGCGACGCAGACGAATTTCGGCCAATCGCCGGACGTGTGTTAAGCGACTCGAATGGAAAGTTACAGTATCTCCTTCTTTGTCACTTGTTGTTTATAAAATGCACTTTTAGCGTATTGTGTGACTTTGGTCTGGGATTTTCCATAGCAAAGTTAATGACCACGAGGTCGACCGGTGGGCGAGTTTGAGAGGGTGTTGTGGCGCTTTCCTCCCGCGATTACTTACAGATCATAAACAAGGAGTGAGTCTCCCCAAAGCGGCCCATCCTCGCTGCAGTTCAGTAGAGGGGGTGACTAATCGAGGCCTCTTGACGCCGAACGCGATCAGACCCTCGCGTCAGTCGGTGCTACGACTTCGCATTTTATGAGAAATTAGATGCAAGTTTAATAATTTTTATTTACATAAAAATGTAAAAGAAAGTCATTTTTACAGAAACAAACGTAAATTTAAAATGATTAATCTTCAAAATATTTTCTCATACTAAGAAAAATTGCAAAAATACCAAAAAAACATCTTGTTGTAAAACATTTTTATGTAAGGTAGATAGCAGTATCTTAAAAACATACTTTTACGGTGCGGACAAAAAGTTATTTTCTTTGTATAACATCAGTGTTATAATATAATAAGTTTTCAGTTTTACCTAAAATAAGTTATAAATGGTATTAATGAACTGAAGAATTCTATCTTACTTCACAAACTACGTCAGTAACGAAGTGTTGAGACTTTTTCAAAATGCAATGGCTATTCAGTAACACTATTTAAAATAGCAATAGTTAATAACAATACTTCAGTAATCTCTCCTAAAACAACAGCTAGAAATCAAGAATTTGACATCTTGCTTATAAATTTCACTTAGGATGTCTTCAGGGCATAAATTACGTAAATTAGTGCAAAAGAGGACAATAAATAGGCAATGAGCGACCTCAAGTGAGGTCGCTGGTCATTAATTAGTTAAGCGAAAACCGCTCATCTTCTAGATGCGTTGGTTAAACGAGGGCCAAATCTGCCTGAGGCCCTCGCGAGAAAGGCCTCTGCTAACAGGCCAAGACCTTTCAATACCAGAGATGCCTCCCTGCCAAAAGAGCGTTCGAGAAGAGAAGGTCAAGAGCGGAGTACAGTGAGCAAGTCAGTACTTCTCCTCCACGCGGTGGCGCTCTGTGGCGAAAGCTCAGAGTCTGCATAGGCGCCTGCGTTGTACGCGCCTGCATTGTACGCGCCTGCGTTGTACGCGCCTGCGTTGTACGCGTCTGTATTGTACGTGCCTGTATTGTACGTGCCTGTATTGTACGTGCCTGTATTGTACGTGCGTGTATTGTACGTGCCTGTATTGTACGTGCCTGTATTGTACGTGCCTGTATTGTACGTGCCTGTATGTACGTTGTTGAGTTTACAAGTATGTGAAAGTCTGTTTTAACGAGGGGATAGTTTGATATAGGTATTATTCAAAAGGTATTACACAGCGCAAATCACTTACAGTGTAAGATTTTTAGTTGCAAAAAACAACTTCCCTTCACCTCCATCCTTCATTACAGCATGTGTAATAGATGAGAGTAGATTAGTCTGCCTATTCTCTTGCACATACTTGGTTCAGTCAACAAGCTATTTCTGTTCTTTCTGCACAGTTTTCTTAGTTCCAGAAGTACTAATTGTGAAAAATCACGCACCACACTTCAGAAGGATATATTTAGTGATCGAGACTGTACTTACGGAGGCCATCAGGTCAATCCCAAACATTTCAATCACGCTTCGCCTTGGGTGAAAAAACATTAGATCGTTGTCCTCAACGGCATGGTCTCATACAAGAGAGTACGGGGTATTTTCCAGTCTGAAGCAGTGGAGGCCCTAAATAATTTACGACTCGCAAGAAACAGAATTTATTTCACATTGCTTCCGACTTATCCACGTTTAAATGAAATAAATCAGGTGGCAAATCCACCTTCCCTCGGAGGATGTGTCCTAAAGTTGCAGAGATTCTTTCAGTGTTTCCTAGCAGTCTTGTTCCTCGTTTCCATATCGCCTGTGTCGTTAACCAGCCATTGACTTAATAGTAACAACGCTGTAATGACCCATATTGCTTCCCTTGATATAGCGGGGAATGCAAAAGCTACTTGAGCGCAGATAGCCTGTATAGTGAGAGGATTCCTCCGATGCTCGGCATTGCCTTGCTCCTGAGCACGTGCGTCTGCGCGCGTGCGCTTACCCATCTGCCGACGCAAGTGGTCCACTTCTCCACCGGGCCGGGGGCCTTCTTGCTCGACGTGCCTCCGAACTTGCTGCCTAAGAAGCCGGCGCTGGCGCCTGCGCACAGGGCCACCAGGATCGCCCACCCGGCCCACCCGGCGGCCGCGCGCGGAGGAGGCATGGCGCCAAATGGCTGACGCGGCGGGGCGGCGGCGGGCGGGCGGCGAGCGCGCCGGAAGCCTCAGGTGCCAGGCGCGCCGTGCGCGCCCCTCCGCCCACTTGTCGGCCCCGCCCGCGGCCCGCTTGGCAGAGCGAGCCCACGTTCATTCAGTAGCTGGACATGATTCGTCATTGAATTACCATTACCATTATTGCCATTATTATTATTATTATTATTATTATTATTATTATTATTATTATTATTATTATTATTGATATAACTCCATTGATCTGTTCCTTTCTCTCAATTGCAGTCAGTGGGAAAAATGATAAATTTCGAATTGGGAATACAAGAATGTCACTTCAATGTAAGTCCCTCACGGACCACAATATGGCAACTAGAGGGTTTATGTGGAGAAAATTCGAATTGTTGTAGGCCTGGCACGATATGGAAACTCAAGCTGGTTTGAGCTGGGGAAATTCCATAAGTTTTGGACGGGTCTATCTAGATATCAAACTTGAATTGGTAAAAGGGGTAACCGAAGAATCAAATTGAGTTTTAAAAACATGAGACATGTATGAACCAGGTACACAGTCTGTGGGCAATAAAAATAATATCCCAGGTCTACACTAAGACACTAAAACCATTGAAGTAGAATGCAGACCAACTTCACTAAAGAAGATATTTGTAATTAACAGCTTATGAAACACAATGTAAAGATTGATGGCAAATTACTACGGACAGATTGTTAACTGTATGAGGGTGTACGCTGAACCAAATGACCCACCTCTTCATGATAATTGGAAGACATCAAATTGTTACAGTGGCACGTCCACTTACGTCTAATGAAGATGGGCGTTAATTGGACGCCACAGGCGAATGGCCGCGTGATTACCTTGAAACACGTCTCAGGGCAATAGAACGGCTGACTTCCAATGAAATGGCCGATAATTACGCCGTATTAGCTGCTCTTTCGAATGCAATCTCGACCATAGCGTCCGAGGAAGAGTTACATTTTAATTACAACAAACAACACATATCAATCTTAAAAATGAAAATTACGAAACATATCATGATATCTCTTTATTTAGTCATGTAATCAGATATTAAATTTAGCTGATTACATACATTTTAGATTTAACGATAAAGATAAAACCTCTTGAACCTCCATGTTCATCAATTTTTGACGAATAACGTTTCTTAAAAATAATTTAAACAAAGTGTTTTCGAAAATATCAACTGTGAGGTCAAA